ACACACACACACACACACACAGAGAGAGAGAGAGAGAGAGAGAGAGAGAGAGAGAGAGAGAGAGAGAGAGAGACATCAGGGTCTCTTGTAAGACTTAGGATACTAAAACAAGTAAGAGAAATGGGCTCCAGGGTGTCCATCAGTCAACAAGGGTTGGTGACTTCCTGTCCCGTACCAGAGCCAAGAGTGCACAAGAAGCCATTTCTGTATGATCTGCAGGGAGACAATAGTGGGAACAGCAAGGTAGTGAGAGCAAGAGAAAGATCCTCATATGCAGGCATGACCTCTCCAAGGAGAAGACCCTGAGTCAGGACCTGAGAGGGGAGCCAGGTAGTTGAAGAATGGAGGAAGAATGTTCTGGGAAGAGCAGGTGCAAAGACCAAGAGGGTGGAGAGAGCCAGACACCTGGGAGCTGAGTGGGACATGCATGAAGAGGAGTCCTGCTGCGGTCTGTAATAAAAAAATCCCAGCCAAACTGAAATGTCTGTCATCCAAGGTGCTTACGCAACATAGGATGCATATCTGCAGTAGAATACAGTGTGTCCATTCATAAAGGACAGAGGTTTGGTGTGTGAATATGGAGGCTGTCCCACAGTAGTGAGGAGATACTAGGAGTCCAGCCGACCTGTGTTCCGGTCTATTCAAGTGCCTTAGGGATAGTACCTCAGAATCCTCAGGAAACAAAAGCTGGGCTGTTTGCCTGCCCTGCAGTATGCCAGTCACAAACGACAAGCTTGGCCAAAGAAAAGGTTTATTCATGAGGTGTGAGGATGTGTGACACCCGAGCTCCCACCTGCCTCCCAAGAGGATATGGGGAGGGTCTTGGAGTTTGTTCAGCTTTTCCTTGGTTTCCTTCGCACTAAAACCCACTAAAGAAATTAGACATGGGTTGTGGATGCAAAGTTGAGGACCTGTGTTCTCAAATGCTTGGTATTCTTCCCTCTCGTGGGGGAGGGGTACAGGGGATGTTGTTGTTTTTTTCAATGTATTTAACTTACTTTAAGTGCATTGGTGTGAAGGTGTCAGATTCTCTGGACTGGAGTTACAGACACTTGTGAGCTGCCACGTGGGTGCTGGGAATTGAACCCAGGTCCTCTGGAAAAGCAACCAGTGCTTTTAACCAACAGCTTTTTGTTGTTTTTGTTGTTGTTGTTTGTTTTTGTTTTTTGTTTGTTTGTTTGTTTTTATTCTTTTACTCTTTGGGGGCCAGCCACCCAGCTCTCAAATAAATACACATGGAGACTTATTCTTACTTATAAATCCCTGCTTTGGCTTGTTTCCAGTCAGCTTTTCTTAAATTATCCCGTCTGCCTTTTGCCTCTGGGGCTTTTACCTTTCTCTATTTCTGTGTATCTTTTCTTTACTCCTCACTGTGTGTGGCTTTGTAGCTGGGTGGTTGGCCCCTGGAGTCCTCTTGATCCTTCATCTTCCTCCCCCCATATTTCTCCTATTCATTCTGCCTGCCAGCCCCACCTACTTCTCTCTCCTGCCTTGCTATTGGCCATTCAAGCTCTTTATTAGATCAATCAGGTGTTTTATACAGGCAAAGTACAATAGCTTTACAGACATAAATGTAACAGGAGAATGCAACACATCTATGCATCATTAAAACAAATGTTCCACAGCATAAACAAATGTAACACATCTTAAATTAATATTCCACAACAGGGATGAAGGGGCAGAAAAATTTGTGTGGTCACTTCTGTTTATACAAAGCAAAATGTTTATGAAGCTATATCTGCTTCTATCTATGCAAGTAGCATTTTGAAAAGACACATTAAAGAATAATTGTGGTTTCGGGAGGGAACACCTGGATAGCTGAGAGTCAGATATGAGGGGGCTTATTTTACACTGCCAATTTTCTTGGTTTTTGAACTTTTTGTTGTTGGTGGTGGTTTTTTTCTTTTTTTCTTTTGGAGTCTGTCCTGAAACTCACTCTGTAGATCACACTGGTCTCAAACTCAGAGATCCATCTGTCTTTGCCTCCCGAGTACTGGGATTAAAGACGTGTGCTGCCACTGTTATTCTTAAAAAACGATTAGAGAGCGGCTACAAACGGTTCCCGGGCGGGCTGGCGGAGCCCGCCATGGGAAAGCGGCTACAAATGATCCCCCGGGCTGGCTGGCGGAGCCCGCCATGGGAAAGCGGCTACAGGAGGGCACGCTTCCTTGGCCCACGGTGGCGGCAGGTAACAGACACGTAAACACAGGAAATAGCCATAAGTATTTATTAAGGAAGGGGGAGAAAGAAAGACAGAGAAGAGATAAAAGGAGAGAGGAGAGATAAAAGAAGAGAGAGAGAGAGAAAACGCGTGCGCACGCTAAGGAAGCAGAAAGAGAGAGAGGGTCCCAAGATGGCGATGGGCGGGTCAGAGGTTATGGGAGTGGGCGTGGCTAGGGCAGGGACCCAAGATTAACACATATACCTACAAATTTAGTATAAAAAGTGATTTTAACAAATACCATTGTTTTACTATTGGTTTGATCAGTCTATTAGTTAAAAAGAATTTATGTAAATACTTTATACGTATCAGTGATTGTCCTAGAAGTGGAAAATGCTGTGGTGAAAAGAAGGTGTTTCATATTCTATAATGATAGTTATCACATTATAGGAAAATTATAATTTAATAATCAAAACAAATATGAAATTATGTATAGTGTTATTATTACCAAACCCAGAACTTCTGTTTTAGGGATCCTTACAGCCCCCCACCAGGTGCTAATAGAATCGATGTGTAGAAGTTGCCATGATACTCATCCCCCTGCAAAGAAACAGAATAGGCCCCACAAGAAGAATTATCTAGGCCAAAATGACAATAGTGTCAAAGTTAAGGAATCTGTTAGCAATCCTATAATGCTTATAGAATATAGGACCATCATAGTGGCTACCTGTTTTGTTTGTTTAACTGATAAATCCTTGATGCTTAGAGAAGTGCCTAGAAATAAGATACCCAGAAAGTGAGTGGGATAAAGGATTACATGGAGGGGGGTGCGGGCAGGATAGGTTCTTTCAGAAAGGCTGAGGGAGTGTGCAAAGTACATTAGAAAACCAAAGACTTTCTAGTCTAGACAACAGTCCCATTGATAAGACCAGTGACCTGAGCTTGTTGACCAAAGTGCACTTGCTCACTTAGTTCATTTTGTCTGCACCTCCTTCCTGTAAAACTTTCATAGTGAAATTTTATTCTGTTCTCATTGATGAACACATTGAACATTTTAGAAAGAATTTATTATGTATTATGTTTTCATTTCTTTGCAAGAGTGTATGCCATATGTGTGAGCTGGTATGTATGGAAGACAGAAGAGGGTTTTGGACCCTCTTAATATGGGTGGTAAAAACCAATTATGAACAATAAATCCCAAAACCTTTACCTTTTAAGCCACCTCTCCAGCCCTATGCATGACACATGTTTAAACCAACTCAACACTTTCTATTTTTTCTCATCCAAGAAGTCTGAAATTTATTCAGACCCTCCCCTCTTGTTTCATCATCATCATCATCATCATCATCATCATCATCATCATCATCAGTAGTAGTAGTAGTATTTCTCAAAAAGTGGTTTAAGCTAAGCAGACTAGGGAAGAATGACATGGCATTGGCAACTTTGCATGTTAAATATGATTCTAGGACAGATGAATTCCTCAGGATAGTAGACTCAAGGGAGTATTTCTAAGGTGGGTGGAATGCCCAGAGCAGGCATAGTTGACTATTTTTAAAAGCAGTCCCAACCTTCTATTTCTGCTATTTACACTTACCCAAAAAGTAGACTATTGTTTTCTCTAGCAATGTGCTGTGTCTGCCCAGAGTAGGAAGCAACCCCAGCCACTGCCTCTCACCACCCCTTCATATATTTTCACTCTGGCTTTGGGTTATTGTTTCCCATTGTTATTTACTCATCAGGGAAAGATTCTGTTGTTTTTCTGTCCCCTCTCAAATAATATTCTATAAAGCATTTAATCCCATCTGCTACATGATTGCTAAATATAGGTTACCTTCATCAGCAAGGAAAAAATGTTTTTTTTTTTTTAAGAATGTATGTGTAGTAAGGAGGGGGCTACTTGTTTGTTTCCGGCTGCTTGTTGGTTCCTGGCTTCTTAGTCCCAAAATAATCATGAAGAAACTGTATTAATTAAATCACTGCTTGGCCCATTAGCTCTAGTTTCTTATTGGCTAACGCTTACATATTATTTTTAATTTATTTCTATTAATCTCTGACCACATATGGCCATGTGGCCATGGCTTACTGTCTAAAGTTCCGGGGCCCATCTCTGGCAGGGCTACATGGCTTCTCTCTGACTATGCCTCCTTTCTTCCAGCATTCCATTTAGTTTTCCCCACCAGCTCTGTTCCCCATAGCCATGCTATAGGCCCAAAGCAGTTTCTTTAATCAGTAATGGTAATCACAGCATATAGAGGAACATCCCACATCACCTCCCCTTTTTCTATTTAAATAAAAAGGAAGGTTTTAACTTTAGCATAGTAAAATTACATATAACAAAACAGTTATCAAGCAAGCATTAGTTACAGTACTTATATCTACTTTATATTTTATCATAACTAAGGAAAATTATAATAATAGCTACCTATTCTTCAACACTATCAAAGACTCTAGAAGGATATCCAAAACTCTAGAATTGACAGAGACATCTCACTGCCTGGACAGTCACCTCAAGTTCTTCTGTACTGTTGGGACGTTCATCTTCAGCCTACAGGGCCATAGTATCCAGCAGACTTTTCCATGAAGCAGTAAATTTCAAAGACAGTTCCACCTATATTGGCAGTTTTTCTGTCATTTCCTTCAGTATCCTGCAGAATGTCTAGCATACTCTTTCATGAAGCAGGAACCCGGAAGGAAAGTCTCACCTTTAGGCAAGTTCTGCAGTTATTTTTCTGTGGGTTCTACATGTCCAATTCTGCAAGCAGTCCAGGCAAGAATAGTTTCTTGGCCAAATGGCTAACTCTATAAGGAGCCTTTTCAATGTCCATATTTCTCTTGAAGTAGTTTGGTGCTGTCAGTAATTTGATGTGTCTCATTGTCATGAAAAGTCCTAAGTTATTAAAACATTTTAAATGTCATATTCTGTAGTCTTTGAAAACTTTGAAGAATGCCTATCCATCTGAAATACATCTCTGTACATCTAGAAAACTTAACCAACATGACTACAAGCTATTTAGATGATTATCTATTAACCGGTATTTCTTAATTATACATTACATTTTTAAATGAGCTGTGCACACAATACCTTAATCAAGATCAGAAATACATATACACAGTATAACAAAATTGACCTTTAATTTGTATTAATAAACCAAGATCCATACCCATGAAAATCTCTATAGCATATTCCCTTTAAATGTAAACAAACATTTACAAACAATACTCCAAAATATGCATAGTTTTCTCCAAATTTCTTCTTGCTGTTTATTGGACAAAGTAATTATTTTGAGACATGTTCAAGGTAATTTTTCAGGGAATCTTGGTCCATCAAACCACATCAGTCTAGAAGGATTCCACAGGTTTTTACCTTCTGTGGAAACAAAAGAGGAACCCTTTTTTCCAAAGCAACATATCCTTAGACCCAAATTCTGAAGTCAAGATATCTTTATAATATACATGCTGGTTTAGCTTTTCAGTTCATATAATGAAATGTTTCTCTCTAATGAGGTCCTTCTGGTGTGGGACAATTCTGTATTCTGTCAATTACATTTTAAATAAACGCTGATTGGTTGATAGCCAGGCAGGAAGTATAGGTGGGAAAACCAGACAGGAAGTAGAGGTGGGACAATTAGAACAGGAGTATTCTGCAAAGAAGGAAGCTCTTCTTCCAGTTCTTCCCAGACCCCCAAAAAAGCAGGAAATGACCTGCCCTGCTGAAAAAAATACTGAACCATGTGGATAACATAGATAAGAATAATGGGTAAATATAAGCTACAAGAACTAATAAGAAGCCTGAGCTAATGGACCAATCAATTTATAATCTTATGGAGACCTCTGTGTGATTTTCTCTAGGACTAAAATGGCTGGGGGACCAGGCAGGGCAGAAACCTCAACAAGCAGCCCCTCCTGCTACACCTTCACAGTCAAAAACTTCAAAGAAGACACAATAATATACATATTACAGACTCTCTGTGTATATTCCATATTTTCATGCTTTATTTATTTTTAGTCTATTATTTTTAATATTTATTTTATTATCTTTACTCCTTTAACGTATGACTGTCTGTACTTTGTTTCTTTAAAAATTTTGTTTTTTTAAGCATTTATTTCTTTTTATAACTCTCTCTACTCTTTTTCTTTTCTCTACCAAGCCTGTGTACATTTATCTAACACTGTGACCCAACCGAGATTTTTTTCCAATCTGAATCTGTCGTTATTGTGTATCTATAATTCTTTACTGTCCAGGAACACTTCTTAAAATGCTAAGTGCTTCTTATGAACTTAAGCTGCACCATTTCAAGGATATGTATGGCCTGCCTGCTTTTTCTGCCCAGTCCAACATGGTGGAGGAGGTCCATTCACTGCCCTTGAGCTGCACACACTGCCCCAGTTCCAAGTATGCAACAAGTCTATGTTGAGCCATTAAGCAGCTTGTAACATGCTGCTTACAAACCCCATGTAAATGCTCAGCCTCCCGAAAAAAACAGAGATTCTGGCAGCAAGGCTCAGAAAGCCAGCATTTCAAAATGGCAAGGCTTTTTTTCTGCTTCTTGCTGAATCAGGAAAACCTCTCTTAAAGAAGCCATGCCTAAACTTGTTTCTATCAAAACAGAGCCCACCCAAGAAAATGCTGCTACCAAACCATGCTTAACTCTGTTATTTTGTATCTAAGATTTCTTTTTAAGCTTTCTCAGGTTTTGCATTGATTTAGTCCACCACGTTGGTGTGCCAATTTGTAATAATGAGGGACTGCTTGTTGGTTCCCAATTGCTTAATCCTGAAATAATCACACAAAACTGTATTAATTAAATCACTGCTTGGTCCATTAGCTCTAGCTTCTTATTGGCTAACTCTTAAATATTAATTTAATCCACTTCTATAAATCTGTGTATCACCACCTTGCTGTGGCTTACTGGCTAAAGTTCCAGTGTCAGACTCTGGTGGGGCTACATGGCTTCTCTCTGACTCTGCCTCCCCCCCCCCCAGCATTCCAGTTTTCCCCCTGCCTAGCTCTGTTTCCCTATAGCTCTGCTATAGGCCCAAGAAAATTTCTTTCTTCATTAATGGTAATCACAGCATACAGAGGAAAATTCAAC